ACATGCAAAGTTTCCTTCGCTAATATAATTCTACCCTAGATTATTTTTTTTACATTAATATTGTAATCTATAGTATTGTCAATTTTTAAAAAGGGATCTTGACACTCACATGTAATCATATTTTTGCAACACTGTTCTAGAGGGTACCAGTCCTAGCATACAGGATTTAAGCCTTTATCAGCTTAATTTTGTATGTGAGAGAGACATAAACAAATAATTGTCTCTTGTGTCTTCTTGCTTGTCATGAATGCATGTCTCAGTGAATGCACATGAACCCACAGTTATGCAGGTTTTACTTTTTAAAAAATGCTGCAATGTAGCTTAAGTGATGAGATCTGGAATTATTTCCCATGAATTAATGATCTTTGATTTATTTAGCAGACATATGCCCAGCAAACATATAAGCCTTTTCTATATATAAAAAGAACACCTAAATATTCAATAAGATTACTTCTTTAGCTTCAGGAACTTTGCTCTCATTTCTCAAATAAATGAGGAAAAGTAGAGGTGATATGAAAGCATGCACATAATAATTAAAAAGAAACTAGCTTCACATTTGCCAGAAATCTTTTGATTAAAGGTGGATTCTGAAGCAATTTATTTTCCACTGATGGGTCTTAAGAACAGCACCAGGATCTAAGACTGAATTGGGTCTGGTTTTAAATATAAATACTGTACTGCCATACAGTAATTTCTGCCATAATGATGCTCTGTCCTCAGTGCTGTGCTGTGGCATATTATTATAAATATTTAGGACTGGCATATGGGAGGTTGCTTGCAGATGACAGGGCACAAGAACATACACTCACATCCTTACCCCAATGAAGAGTCAGTTTTAAGATAGCCAAGGCAATCCTAAATTGTATTAATAGAGGGAAAGAATCAAGATCACATGAAGTACTAGTACCACTTTCTAAAGCCTTAGTAAGACTACACTTAGAATATTGCATCCAGTTTTGGTCACCATACTATAAAAAAGATGTTGAGACTCTGGAAAGAGTGCTTAGAAGAGCAACGAAGATGATTAGGGGCTGGAGACTAAAACATATGAAGAACGGTTGCAGAAATTGGATACTTCTAATCTAGTAAAAAGAAGGACTAGGTGTGTCATGATAGCACAATTCCATAATTTGAGGGGCTGCCACAAAGAAGAGTGGGTCAACTTATTTTCCAAAGCCAGAAGGCAAGACAAGAAGTAATGGATGGAAACTATGGAGAGAAGCAACTTGGAATTAAGGAGAAACTTCCTAACAGTGAGAACAATTAACCAATGGAACAGCTGGCCTTTAGAAGCTGTGGGTGCTCTATAAGAAGAGACTAGACACTCACTTGTCTGAAATGGTATAGGGTCTCCTGCTTAAAGCAGGGGGTTGAACTAGAAGACCTCCAAGGTCCCTTCCAATTCTGTTATTCTATTATCTGTTATTGAAAATATTCGGCTTGAGTGCAGTACCTATAACTATTATCTCAAATCTAACATCAAGTTAGTAGGGTGTATTTAAGTGAAATGGATGCATTTTTTTTTCTACTTTGGATTAGAGAGAACTAAAGACAAAATCTACCAAGGAGTCTTTGGTATTGCATGGCAAATGGATGTGGGTGCTATAGCCAACTTTCAGTGGTGAATTCTAATTCAGAAACCTTTTAGTACCTGCACACTGTTTCTTGTTTGCCCAACACACTGAAAAGCCTTTTCTTTGATTTGTGCCTTACCCTCAGCAGTAAGAGATGAGGAGGACCTCATTCTCTGAGAGAAGCTCTCCTTGTGCTCAGAATGAACTTGAGACCTTTTTACATGTATTTTTTCACTGCCCTTTCTACACAGCAGCTCTATCCTTACTGCTTCCTAACAGTAACCAAATCTGTTATCTTTCCTCTGCACAGATTGGAACCTACCATCAACAAAAGTGTTGCTAAGCTGCTATTGGTAGTAATTTGCATTAAAAGGCATCATGAATGCAACGATGGTGACACTGTGAAATGCCTTTTTTTTTTCTTCTACCGCATTGCATTTTTAATTTATTCAATTTCTATTTCATCTTATTTGATATTGTTTTATTCTGTCTTATTCTATTCTTATTCTATTTTTTCCCCTCTCTCTGATTTTTGTAATCTAATTTGGGGAGTTTATATGACCATTACACTATTTTGTTGTATTTGGTCATTACTTTTCTTAGTATTATTATTATTTGGTTATCTGGTCAATGACCGTAGTTGAATAAATTTGATTTAATCTGCCTTGATTGATAATTGCTGGAGATTGTGCTAATTGTGCAAGTAAGTCATTTGAAGATTATCTTATCCTGTATTCATGGAAATATAGCATTCTGTTCATAAGATATAATAACTGCATTTTATTCTGCACTAGTCTGGTCATATCTGGAGAGTTGTGTTCAATTCTTTCAAGAAAGGAGATAAACTGGAGCATGTACACAGCAGGACATTCAGAATGGTGAAAGAACTGAAATAATCCTATCAGAAAATGATTAAAATTATTGGACAAATTATGTTGGGATCCCAGTTGAATCCAGCTAAGGATTTTTTAAGAAGAGTAAATTTAACTCTTATCATGTAACATTTGGGAATTGGTAAGAAGACAAAAGAGAATTAGAGAATATTTAAAATGCCATTGTTATTCATTTTGCATTGCTTTATGTATTGGAGGTTCTTATTTAATTTTGCTTAGTATACTGCTAAGTACCATGTTTCCTTTAACCTTATTTCCAAAATAAAATCTAAAATGAAGGAATGAATTCATGTGTATACATTAATAACCAATCTTTGGGAAGGTGTTTCAATTCTGAGAAAGATTATAATTATTGTAAGTGTAGCTATACAAGGATTGCATAACAGCAATATAATCTCTGCACAAAACAGTTACATTCTTCCATCTCTATAGATTTTAGGGTTTTAAAAAAAATCATCAATTATCACCGTCATGCCCAATGTAATGAAATGTGCGGATGACCTTGGGGAAAGAAGGAAAGAGATTCCTCAGATTTCAAACAATCTTATATATATAAAAAAAAATAACGGAGTTTGTAAGGACCTTGGAGGTTTTCTAGTCCAACTCCCTGCTCAAGCAGGAGACCCTATAGCATTTCAGACAAGTGACTGTCCAGTCTCTTCTTATAAGCCTCCAGTGATGGAGCACCCACAGCTTCTGAAGGCTACTTAATTGTTCTCACTGTTAGGAAATTTCTCTTTAGTTCTAGGTTGCTTCTCTCCTTGTGCAGTGAGTAACCTCCTTGCATACTTCCTAAAAGCTTGTATAAATTAGTATTGCCCCAGGTATGATTTTTGGGGAGCAAACATCACTGATCACAGTAATATATACTTTTGAGCCAGGATTTTTCAAACATTTTGGGCTGTGAATCATCTCCTGAACCCCATGAAATGGCAGCTGTGACATTTTTCATGGAAAACAATTCCTACCCTTTTCACTATACCTTAGAAAAAAATGCCATGGATGCCCCAAGATGAATTTCACTAAAAAAAATTTCTCTCTTCTCTTCTCTTCTCTTCTCTTCTCTTCTCTTCTCTTCTCTTCTCTTCTCTTCTCTTCTCTTCTCTCCTCTCCTCTCCTCTCCTCTCCTCTCCTCTCCTCTCCTCTCCTCTCCTCTTCTCTTCCTTTTTTTGCCCTTAATCTCTCATGGAACTCCATCAAGTTATTCTAGAACATGAAATTTCTGCAGTACAGAAATTTGTTTTCAGCAATGAGGCCAGGATCATACAATTATACTTAGGTGTTCCTCAGCTTCTCAGGTGGCCTCTATTCAGATCAGCTTAGCTTTAGAAGAAAAAGCTCCCATGAGCTTTTAAAACATTGGACTATTATCAGAGGAATACATTTCTTTCCTTTGGATGAAGTACGCGTAAAATTATTTTTGTTTCAGCTAGGCTTTGTTTTCAAGGCTAACTGAATCTTATTTAGTTTATTCCTTTGAGGGATTAAGAAACAAGGAAGATGAGAAATTAAGTCTTTTGTTTTACTCTCTGAGATCCTAGCTTCTATTCAAAATATTAATCTGAGCACTTGAGAGACAAGTTTTCCTTTCTCTCAGTCATTTAGTTAAATCAAATTAAAAGCATTCAATAGGTTGATGAAGTAAATTTTAACAATGATTTTAAGCATTTTATATTCTGGAGAATATAATTGGAATTTAAAATTAAATTGCTACTTTGACTTTAACTAGAAATTCTCTTTCATTAATGTTCTTTCTGAAATGTTTCTCTAAGTGATGTTTTATTTCATGTGTGTAATTTTCTCTGTAATACAAAATTGTTTGAATTACTATGTGAGTTTATTTAATTACTTAATACTCACTACAGTCAAGGTTAAGTCTCATGGCACTTGTAACAATAGGAAGCAAGTGACAGTGGCATAGCTATAAGAGAATAAAACAAAGAAAAAGAGGCTAGAGGCTGGAAAAAGGAAGGGATTAGGCTCAAATCCAAATCCATTAGCTGTTTGTATATAAATTTGCAAGAAACCTGAATTTAAACAGAACTCTGTAATCAGTGGTGGGATTCAAATATGTGAACAACCAGTTCTCTGTGTGGATTCCCCTTCCAGAAGTCCATTCTGGACCTGGGAAACAAAAATTAGCTACCGGTTCTGCAAACTGGCTGAATCCCACCACTGTCTGAAATGTTACCTGGGAGCAGCTGTAGTTAATAATTCGTGTTTCTCACTGGAGACATCACTTCCCAACAGGAAATCATATAAATATTGCATAAGTAGGCAGGAATCTTCTAGTAATTTTTACACAGGAAGGAATACAGCTTCACAGCTACATTTTAAATTTTATTTAATTTATTTTCTCTTTCTGTACAAACCTATTCATGTGAAATATTTCAAGGTAATTGCAATTTGACCTTCAATTTATTTGACAATCAGAGGTCTAATTTTTGCTTAACAGATTGGGGGATGAAAAAGGCACTGAACAGGGGGATGATTGATGAATTCAGTAATGACAGTAGAAAGGAAAAGACATTACCTTCGTTTTATCATATAAGGCATGATTATCCAACATCATTTTCCGCTCATGGGTAGCATATCTCCGCAGATCACGTTCAAATTGCTGCATACATATAAAATACTCAGTGTTATTATAGCAAAGCCAAATTATCTATATCTATCTATCTATCTATCTATCTATCTATCTATCTATCTATCTATCTATCTATCTATCTATCCATCTATCTGCTTTGTTTTAATCTATTGTAGCACTCTTTATTATAAACTTTTATTAATATACTATAGATATAAATTTAAGATAAATTGATATTGTCCTGCAACGACTTTTAAAATCCTAGAGTGAAGATGTTCCTGAGAGCTAATATTAAAGACCAGTCATGAGGAAGCCTGCTAGGTCTTCATTACTGCACACATAACCATAAGTAATGTGATATTTTGATATTACATTACACTTTTTTCTATAATGAATGTAGTCTGCAATTCTTACAAATTTTGTAATGGATGTTCACCCAGAGCTACTCTGTTGGATGTGCGATACTATATCACATTAGCTAGTATTGTCTTCCTGATAATTATAACTTTATAAGAAGAGATGGTTGAAGTTTAATTTAAACACACAGTGGATTCTGTTTGCTTCTGACTCACAGAAGATGTCGGAGTGAAACAAAAATCTTTAGGTGTTTGTACTTTTTCAGGAAGCATTACAGTTTATAATATGTTTGTTGGTAGCTGCCTAGAGATTAGAAGCAACTGTCAAGGAAACACAAAATACAGAATAGAATAGAATAAATTGGACTGGCAGTTTTTAAATAAAATATTGGACTATATGAATTTTGGAAATCAATTTAAGACAGCTATAAAAGCAATTTATCAAAAACAATCTGCTCAAATAATTATTAATGGAGATCTGACAGAACCTATAGATATACAAAAAGGTACCAGACAAGGTTGTCCACTTTCTCCATTATTATTTGTATTGTCTTTGGAAATTCTGTTGTCTAGAATTAGAGAATCACCAATGATTAAAGGCCTAAAGATTTCTACTAAAGAATATAAACTTAAAG